TGCAAATCAGGGCGCAGGGCGCGCGAAACAGGGAGTGGCATGCAAATCAGGGCGCGCGGCGCGCCAATCAGGGAGCGGCATGCAAATCAGGGCGCAGGGCGCGCGAAACAGGGAGTGGCATGCAGCTCAGGGGGCGGGGCGCGCGAAACAGGGAGTGGCATGCAAATCAGGGCGCAGGGCGCGCCAATCAGGGAGCGGCATGCAGATCAGGGCGCGGGGCGCGCAAAACAGGGAGCGGCATGCAAATCAGGGCGCGGGACACGCCAATCAGGGGGCGGAATGCAAATCAGGGCGCGGGACGCGCCAATCAGGGGGCGGCATGCAAATCAGGACGCGCGTCGCGCCAGTCAGGGGGCGGCATGCAAATAAGGGGCGGTATGCAAATCAAGGAGCGGCACGGAAATCAAGCCGCGGGGTGCACCAATCAGGGGGCGGCATGCAGATCAGGGGGGGACACGCGAATCAGGGAGCGGAATGCAAATCAGGGCGCGGGGCGCGCGAAACAGGGAGCGGCATGCAAATCAAGGCGCGCGGCGCGCCAATCAGGGAGTGGCATGCAAATAAGGGGGCGGTATGCAAATAAGGGAGCGGGACAAGCGAATCAGGGAGCGGCATGCAGATCGGAGGGGGTGCGCCAATCAGGGGGCGGCATGCAGATCAGGAAGGGAAACGCGAATCAGGGAACGGTATGCAAATTAGGGCGCGGGGCGCCAATCAGGGAGCGGCATGCAAATCAGGGAGCGGGGCGCGCGAAACAGGGAGCGGTATGCAAATCAGGGCGCGCGAATCAGGGAGCGGCATGCAAAATCTTGGGGCCAATCCCCAAATTGGGTGATTTTTGGATAATTTGGGGGGTTTTTTTTGGGGTGATTTTGGGGTGATTTTGGGTGTGATTTCGGGGTGCTTTTGGGTATTTTTTGGAATGATTTTGGGGTGATTTGGGGGGTTCTTTTTGGGGTGATTTTTGGGCTGATTTGGGGTTTTTTTGGGGGTATTTTTGGGTGTGATTTTGGGGTTTTTTGGGGTGATTTTGGGGGTTTTTTTGGGATGATTTGAAGGGTTTTTTGGGTCGATTTTGGGTTTTTTTGGGGTGATTTGTGGGTTTTTGGGGTCCCTCACCTCCAGCGTGTCACGGTCGGGGCCGGGGGGGAGGGGCCAGCAGGGGGCGCCCATCCCCCCCCCGGGGCTCAGCAGCCAATCCAGGAGCGGGAAACAGCCCTGGGGGCGGGGCCGGAAAAGGGGCGGGGTCAGGAAAGGGGCGGGGCCAATCAGGGGGGAGATGACAGAAATGGGGGAGGGGCTAAAACTGGGGGCGGGGTCACCCCAGGACCCCCAAAAATGCCTCAGAGCCCTCCCAGTAACTCCCAGTAACTCCCAGTAAGTCCCAGTTGCCCCTCCCAGTGCTCCCAGTGCTCCCAGTTACCCTTTCCATTGCTCCCAGTCCAAACCGGTTTATCCCGGTCCCTCCCAGTTCCTCCCAGTAACTCCCAGTGCCCCCCAGTCTGTCCCAGCCCCATTTCCAGTGCTCCCAGTAGCTCCCAGTCCCACCCAGTTCCCCATCCCAGTCCATCCCAGTTTATTCCAGTTTATCCCAGTCCCTCCCAGTTTGTCCCAGTCCGTCCCAGTCTCACCCTCAGCTCCCGTTTCAGCCTCTCCTCGTTCCGCACCGGCAGCAGCTGCTCCCGGCCCAGCAGCAGCACCTGGAAACTGGGATGGACTGGGACAAACTGGGACAAACTGGGAGGGACTGGGAGGGACTGGGATGGACTGGGACAAACTGGGACAAACTGGGAGGGACTGGGAGGGACTGGGATGGACTGGGACAAACTGGGATGAACTGGGAGAAACTGGGTGGGACTGGGAAGGACTGGGAGAGACTGGGAGGGAACTGGGACAAACTGTGACAAACTGGGAGGGACTGGGGGGGACTGGGATGGACTGGGACAAACTGGGAGGGACTGGGACAAACTGGGAGGGACCGGGAGGGACTGGTCTATACTGGTTTATACTGGTCTATACTGGTTTATACTGGGCAGGCTCTCACCAAGGCGCCGAAGGCGGAGTCGAGGATCTGGGCGGGGGCGGGGCCAAAGCTGAGCCCAATCAGGGTCAGGCTGGGGGGGGACGACCCCTGAGTGACCCCTGAGTGACCTCTCCCTGACCCCATGACCCCCTGTGACCCCTCCCTGACCCCATGACCCCCCATGACCCTTGAGTGACCCCGTGACCCCCCTTTGACCTCTCCCTGGCCCCGTGACCCCTCCCATAACCCTGTGACCCCCCCATGACCCTCCATGACCCCGTGACTCCTCCCTGACCCCGTGACCCCACCGTGACCCCCCTGTGCCCCCCCATGACCCCTCCCTAACCGCGTGACCCCCCGTGACCCTGTGACCCCTCCCTGACCCCATGACCCGACCGTGACCCACCCGTGACCCCATGACCCCTCCCATGACCCCGTGACCCCCCTGTGACCCCTCCCTCACCGCATGACCCCGTGACCCCCCCGTGCTCCCCACCCTGACCCCATGACCCCATCCCTGACCCCGTGACCCCGTGACCCCCCGCTGACCCCGTGGCCCCCGGCTAACACCGTGACCCCCCCAGTGACCCCTGGGTGCCCCCTGACCTGTCCGGCTGTCCGGCCCAGCCCAGCCGGGCCGTGGGCGTGGCCGCCTCCCGCAGCTCCGCCCCCGCGGCCGCCCCGAAGAGCCACGCCCCGTGCAGGGCCCCGACCAATGGGAACGGCACCTGCGGGGGTCAAAGGTCACCTCCCGAAAAAAGGGGGAGGGGAGGGGAGGGGGGGGCGTGGCCTCACCTGGGGGCGGGGCGGGCGGCAGAACAGGGGGAGGCCGCTGGCCGTGGCCACGCCCACCAGGAAGGCCCCGCCCTCCTCGCCGGACATGGCCACGCCCACTCGTGCGGGACACGCCCCTTTTCGAGCTAAGCCACGCCCCTTGTAATGGCCACGCCCTATTAAACCCCGCCTCTTGCCTACAAACCCCGCCCCTTGCTCATAAGCCACGCCCCTTTACTAATAAACCCGCCCCTTGACTTCAGCCACGCCCATTTGTCCTTAAGCCACGCCCCTTGATATTAAACCCCACCCCTTTGATATTAAGCCACACCCCTTTCCATTAAGCCACGCCCTTTACTCTCAAACCACGCCCCTTTTGCTCTTAAGCCACGCCCCTTTTCTATCAAGTCCCGCCCATTTGATATCAAGCCACGCCTCTTTGCCTTTAAGCCACGCCCCTTTAGGCTAAACCACGCCCCCTTTGCTCGTAAGCCACGCCCCCTTGCTTTTTAAACCACACCCCTTTGATATCAAGCCACGCCCTTTGCTCTTAAGCCACGCCCCTTCGCTCAAACCACGCTCCTTTGCTCCTAAGCCACGCCCCTTTGATCCCAAGCCACGCCCCTTGACTTTAAACCACGCCCCTTTGCCCGTAAGCCACGCCCCTTTGACCCTAAGCCACACCCCTTTGCCCCTAAGCCACGCCCTTTTCATACAAAGCCACACCCCTTTCCTCCTAAGCCACGCCCCTTTTCTCATAAGCCACGCCCCTTCGCTTCCAACCACGCCCCTTTGGTCCTAAGCCACGCCCTTTTCACACAAAGCCACACCCCCTTTGCTCCTAAGCCACGCCCCTTGGATTGAAACCCCGCCCCTTATCAGTCAAGCCACGCCCCTTGGCTCTAAAGCCACGCCTCCTGATTCTAAACCCCGCCCCCTTTCTCCCAAACCACGCCCCCTTTTCCTCTCAATCCCCGCCCCTTCCTTGGCCCCGCCCCCTCCCTGCCCGCGCGCGCTCCCCGCTCAGTTGGCGCCACTCGCCGCCATTTCCCGCGCGGGGCACGCCGGGAGCGCCGCGGTTGCCGCGGCAACGGCGGGAAGGGGCGTGGCTTCCCCTGCAACGCGATTGGTCCATGAGTCGCAATGGCGGAAAAGGCGGGGCTTATTCTGCAACGCGATTGGCCGATGAGTCGTTGCTATAGCAATGCGGAAGGGGCGTGGCTTCCTTATTTTCCTCTTCGATTCCATTGGTCGATGAGTCGTTACTATAGCAATGCGGAAGGGGCGTGTCTCCTTTCCTCCACGCTGATTGGCTGAGGCAGGCGCAACGCCCGCTTCCCTCCTTTCCGCGCATGCGCCGCCGCCCGGCGCGGACGCGAAGGAAAACCCCTTCCTCCTCTCCGCGCGCCGCCGCCGGTACCGACCCCGGGGAGTCGTGGGGGGGGGGGGGAACCGGGAGGGGGGAAGTGAATTAAAAACCCAAATTGCGGCACCGCCAACCCCGTGAGGATGCCGGGCGGGGTTGAGGGGGGAGCTGCGGGCGAGTCGCCGCTTCGGGCTCGGTTCCGGGGGGTCACGGCGTTGTTGTTTCCCCCCCCGCAGGAGCCGGCCCCCCCCGCGGGCCGCCATGGTCGTGCCCGCGCTGGAAGGCCCCGCCCCCCCCGCCCTGGTGGCCGACGTGGTTTTCGTCATCGAGGGCACCGCCAACCTCGGGCCCTACTTCGAGGCTCTGCGCAAGCACTACCTGCTGCCCGCCATCGAGTCAGCCTCATTAACATATTCATTAGCTAGTTAATTAGTGGGGCCCTCCCCCTAATAGATTAATGAGGCCCCGCCACAAAAGAATTAAAGGGAACCCCGTTATAAAGTAATTAATGGGAGACTGCCCCAAGCACTACCTGCTGCCCGCCATCGAGTCAGCCTCATTAACATATTCATTAGCTAGTTAATTAGTGGGGCCCCTCCCCTTATAGATAAATGAGGCCCCGCCCCAAAAGAATTAAAGGGAACCCCGTGTAAAGTAATTAATGGGATCCTGCCCCAAGCACTACCTGCTGCCCGCCATCGAGTCAGCCTCATTAACATATTCATTAGCTAGTTAATTAGTGGGGCCCCTCCCCATATAGATAAATGAGGCCCCGCCCCAAAAGAATTAAAGGGAACCCGGTATAAAATAATTAATGGGAGCCTGCCCCAAGCATTGCCTGTCTGTGCCATTGAGTGACAGCTAATTAGCGTGTTAATTAGCTAATTAATTAGAGGGACCCCTCCCCTAATAGATTAATGAGGTCCCATCTCAAATTAATTAAAGGGAACCCGTTATAATTTAATTAAAGGGAACCCCGTTATAAAGTAATGAATGGGATCCTGCCCCAAGCATTGCCTGTCTGTGCCATTGAGTGACAGCTCATTAGCATGTTAATTAGCTGATTAATGAGGTAATTAATTAGAGAGACCCTTCCCCTAAATGGTTAATGAGGTCCCATCTCAAATTAATTAAAGGGAACCCGTTATAATTTAATTAAAGGGAAGCCAGTATAAATTAATTCATGGGATCCTGCCCCAAGCATTGGCTGGCTGTGCCATTGAGTGACAGCTAATTAACATGTTAATTAGCTGATTAATTAGCTCATTAATATGATAATTTATTAAAGGAACCTCTCCCCTAAATTATTAATGAGGCCCCACCTCAAATTAATTAAAGGGAACCCGTTATCAATTAATTAAAGGGGATCCTGCCCCAAGCATTTCCTGTCTGTGCCATTGAGTGAGGGCTAATTAGCATGTTAATTAGCTGATTAATTAGCTAATCAATGAGATAATTTATTAGAGAGACCCCTCCCCTAATAGATTAATGAGCCCTCATCTCAAATTAATTAAAAGGAACCCGTTATAATTTAATTAAAGGGAACCAATTATAATTTAATTAATGGGATCCTGCCCCAAGCATTGCCTGTGTCTCCATTATGTCAGGCTCATTAGCGTGTTAATTAGCGTGTTAATTAGCATGTTAATAATTGGGACCCTTCCCCAAATTCCCCCAAAAATTCCCAAAACCCCCAAATTTCCCCAAAACCCCCCAAAAATTTCCAAAATTCCCCCAAAACCCCTCCAGGACCCCCAAAAATTCTCAAATTTCCCCTAAATTACCCCAGGATTCCCCAAAATTCCCAAAATTTCCCCAAAAATCCCCAAAATCTCCCCAAAAAATCCAAAAACTCCCCCAAATTTCCCCAGGACCCCCAAAAATTCCCCAAAACCCCCCCAAAATTCCCCAAAACCCCCCCAAAATTCCCAAAATCCCCCCAAAAAATTCCTCCAAAATTCCCCCAAAAATTCCCCCAAAAATTCCCCCAAAAATTCCCCAAAAATTCCCCCAAAAATTCCCAAAATTCCCAAAATTCCCCAAAATCCTCCAAAAAATTCCCAAAATTTCCCAGAATTTCCAAAAATTCCTCCAAAATTCCCCCCCAAAATTCCCCCAAAAATCCCCCAAAAATTCCCCAAATTCCCCCAAAAATTCCCCCAAAAATTCCCCAAAAATTCCTAAAATCACCCCAAAACCCTTCAGGACCCCAAAAATTCCCAAAATTCCCCAAAATTCCCCAAATCCTCCAAAAAATTCCCAAAATTTCCCAGAATTTCCAAAAATTCCTCCAAAATTCCCCCAAAAATTCCCCAAAAATCCCCCAAAAATTCCCCAAAAATCCCCCAAAAATTCCCAAAATTCCCCCAAAAATTCCCCAAAAATTCCCCAAAAAATCCCAAAATCACCCCAAAACTATTCAGGACCCCAAAAATTCCCAAAAATTCCCAAAATTCCCAAAATCTCCCCAAATTCTCTTTGCCCCCCCAGGTATTTCAATGGGGGCCCCCCCGCGGAGACCGACTTTGGCGGAGACGTGAGTGGGAATTAATTTAATTGATTTCATTAATTTTATTGGTTTTATTTTATTTATTTTTATCGTAATTTATTTTATTTTCTATTTTATTTTATTTATTGATTTATTTTTTTAAAATTTTAATTTTAGTTATTTTGTTGTCTTGTATTACGTTGTATTGTGTTTATTTTGTTTATTTTATTTTGTTTTGTTTTATTGCATTTTATTTTGTTTTATTCTCTTTTCTTTTATTTTATTTAATGTGCTTTAATTAATTCCCATATTAACTACCTAATTAACATGTTTTTTAATCAGTGTGGGGTCACCCAGTACAGCCTGGTGCCTATTTTATAACATTTAATCGAATATAATTTAATTAATATTTAATTAACCAAAGTGGGG